GTTTTGGTATTCAAAAATTTGGCCTCCTTCATCAATCCCCAAAAGGGAAAAAGCAGCTAATCTTAGAAAGATGGCAAATTTAAGTGGCTCTGTAATCTAGCTTAGTCTGCAGTCATGTTTTAAACTATAACCGCACAGTAGGGACTGGGAGAAAACATAAGTTTCAAAATCAACTCAAAGAGAAAAATCAAGCATTCCTTTAAGAAGGGTTTCTGTTTCTAAATTAGAGTGCGGATAGCATCTTATTAGAAAGAGTGGCAAAGTTTTGGCTAGCATTCTCCACACAAGAGCATCAAAAGAGAAAAGGCAAAAGTCGGCCCAGTGTATTCTATCACTGGATCATTTAAGCCAGAATTTCACATCAGATTCTTGTTGGTCAAGTATTGTAGGTGTCTCATCCCAGGGAGCAGAAAAGCTAACTGTGGACACCCATACACAGAGGCAGACACGTAACATACACTTGTACATGGAACATGTGCACATGAGCACCCACAAACATACATACAAAAATCTAACCAGGCTCTGCTCGGGGGGCCTTGATAACTGGCATATTGTTAGCCCTGGAAAGGATTTTAATCTACGTGGTTTGAAACTAGGGGAGCTTTTAAATATGCTGCGTACAATTTGTGATGGTCATCTCTAAAATGCTGCTCCATTATCCTTTTCCATTTGGTATGAATGAGGCTAATTAATTTCAGGCCATACTTGATGAGGTCAGCACCATGCGAGGGGTGCGTGCTAGACATTGCTAATCTCTTTCAGCTGAGAGTGATGAATTAAAGATGAAGCATGCCTTTGCGGGCCTAATTTAGAATGTATATCAAAAAACCTACAGCAAATAATACTATACCCTACAACAAAGGAAAACTTGTTCTCTCAGGCTCCCTGAGTTGGGTTGATTTTAAAGACATTTTTCGTCCCCTTTGGGATTCCAGCTATGGATGGGGGAACCACATCAAGCAAACCAAGGCATCTCTCACACTTGACCATGTGGACAAAAGATAGGATTAAAAGAAAGAAAACAAAAGCAAAACACAATAATAATCCCTTGAGTGTTAAAATTCCACCTACACAGGCGAGGGGTTTTTTGTTATGTTATGTTTTGGTTTTTTTCCCCCAGAGCTACCAGACTGACAAAGATACCAAATTAGCAATACCTGTATTCAAGCCATGACCACCCAGCTCTGCTGGGACGGGACTTTCAAAGTAACAAGCTCAATGAGGCAGCCCATTGTTTTTCAAGCAGATATCCTAATGAGGGTTATTAGGCTTTTCCATGTCTCTGTTTTGAAAGCCAATAAAGATTGACCAGGTAGATAATATGATACCTCTTATTAAGCCAAGAAAGAAATTGTAACACAGATGCCTCCAGGCCCAAATGTTCTTATGAAAGTTCAATCGAAGCCAACTTCCGAATTGTGAAAAAGTAGTTACTTAATGATCTAACCTAGAAAGAGAAGAAGGAATTAGTCATAATTCTTCAAAGATGACTCTTACAAATCCCTACGGGTGGCAGAGAAGGTGGTTCAGCCCACAGATTAGTGAATACACCTTGCAAAAAATATTTCGGCACATCTAGCTAGAGAACGCCTAACAAGTTATTCTAATGAGTCTCCAACTGGTGGCCATGGAGGCTCTTGGCTTTGTTTCCCAGTAGCCCTCATTAGGGCAAAGCTGTTTCAAATTAGCTTCAATCTACATGCTGAATCAATCTTTCATTCTTTTGATTGCTTCAGAAAATATTTATATTTTTTAATAATGCACATTTTGTCTTGCAACTTCTGATTAAACCCAAACGGGGCCCTCAAAGCAAGGAACATATGGGGCAGAGTGATCTGGGACAGGGAAAGGAAGATAAAAAAACAAAGGCTGTTCATGTTGGGAAACCATTAGCAAAAGTAAATCCAGCCATTGTGGTTATGTCAGCTCCAGAGGTGGGCTGTCATCATGAATACAGACTGGCGTGTTATAATGGCCAAGCACACGCTACAGAATATTCTTCGCACTGTGTGATTATCCACTGATATGTCAACAATTTACAGATTTCATGTTTTTAATATGGTGGCAGAGATTTTTTTTTTGAAATTTTCATGTAACAACCAACAAAAGCCAGGCAAAGTATCATGTCACGTAAGAGAGACATCATTATAATGGGGATGCCCAATTCATCTCAGGTGTGTTTTGTTGAACAAGAATGTATATAGGTAGGGCTAGGGTTAGGGTTGAGGTTAGAGGTTAGGTTTAGGGTTAGGGTTAGGGGTTAGGGTTAGGGTTAGGGGTTAGGGTAAAAAAAATTTTTTAATTAAAAATAAATAAAAAAGAATGTGTGTAGGGAGGACGGAACTAGGGGGTCCTAGGTCGGGGGCATGTGTCCACTCTCCCTAATCTGCTGGGTGCACCTAAGAAAGTCTCCTCGCCTCTCTAGATAAGAGGTTTTTCTTCTTGCTTTAATCTAAAAATAAGAGAGGCACGGGTTTTCTTGCAAGGTTGAACTTCTATGGTTTTCTGAAGGACCCTAGCATCTGAAGTATTCAGTGCTCTCTAGACTAGAGACAGAGAAGACAAAAAGGAAGCTCATCTGAGAACAAGTGTCCCAAATGTCAATTTCCCAGCGGGGAGAGCCGGGGGCTCTGTCCCTCATTCCTGCTCCCTGCCAAGGCCACAGTCCTCGCTGCTCTGTGCCTCTCCTTCCTCTTCAGGACCATCAGAGAGATGCAACAAACACAGTGCGTGTCGTTTTATTTGGGTCAAACATCCCATATTGGAGAAGACGGAAATAAAAGCCAGAGGTAGAGATCACATACTTAATAACTGATAAAGCTAGCGCTCAAACATAAAATCATCATCATTCACTGCCATGGAATGGACTCCAACCCCACAGGACAGAGGAGAGGTGCCCTGTGGGTCTCTGAGACTAACCCTGCACGTGAGTAGCACACTGCAGGACTTACTTCATTACAGTGAACCCTCGCCACTTCGCGCTTCGACTTCCGCGGCTTCGCTCTATCGCGGTTTTTGCGTAACAGCACCCACTGCCTACACCTGCTCCTTCAGAGGAAAAAGACGGTGACCCACCTGTAGAGTACATCCCTTAAGTCATTTCATAGGCTATTGATTACAGTATCTGTAAGAACTATGTATAATAATACTGTATGTGAAATATGTAATACTGTAAACTAGATGCCATAAATAATATAATAAATAATAAATGATCATTGTAATGTCCAAAATGTTTTACTGTATTTTCCCTTTTTCGTTTAATAAATTGGGTAATACGAGTGTAATGGTGACTAAAGGGTGTTTTTTCATGTCCTCTATGCTCTAACTACGAAAATATTTGATTTACAAATGAGGAATCCTACTTCGCGGAATGTCATTTATCACTGTAGGGTCTAGAACCGATTAACCGCGATAAACGAGGGTTCACTGTATAGCCTCTGCCTCCAAATGCAGGGGGGGGGCGGGGGGGGGGACGGAGTGGGACATCTTGTGACTCCTCAGTACAATGTAAGATTCCGTCCAATCAGCAAGAAGAACATCGAATAGAGCCGCGGCTTCCAAGACTTCCTGGATGTGAAAGACATGGCCACAACTGTGGGCGCTTTAGGCAAGTCACCAAGATCCCTGAGTCTCAGGGCATCTTTGCTTTGCCAGGGTATGCTCTTCAGACTAGAGTTGCTTTATTTCCATTTCCAAATATATTTCTATTTCCAAGAAGGAAATGTGTTTGTTTGTTTGTTTATACACACACAGAGGACTACCACCTGCAGATTCGTTGAAATTAAAATTCTGACATAGAGGACATCTCCCTCGCTACCATCCAGTTGATTGACTCTCAGAGACAGTAAAGGGCAGGGGCGAACTACCCTGTGAGTTTCCAAGACTGGCCATCGTCACAGGACTCGAGAGCCCAGTAAATATCGACGTCTGTAGCTAGATGGATAGATCGATAGAGATATCAATATTTAGTAAATGTTCATATCATCATCTTCGTCTTCACTTGGATAGAAACCTGGGGCGAAAAGACCGTGGCAGGACCCTGGAAGGCCTAGTGGAAACGCCAGCTGCACGCTACTCTGCTTGATGAGCTCAGCCAACCGCTTCACCTCTTCCAGCTTCGGTTTCCTAAGCAGAAATATGGGATTTGGAACGCCTGCCTGTACAGGACTTGCGTAAAAAAATAAAGGAGTCCTGTATGTGAAAGCACTTGTATGAAAGGTAGGAGTTGATAACTGCCACCGGATCTGGCTCATCGCGACCCCTGAGCAGTGGAAGGAAATTGGGCTGGGTCTGGCAGACTGGGTCGTGATGATCTACAAGGTTTTCCTTGGCTGATTTGTGGAAACAAATCTCCAAGGTTTGCTGCCCGGTCCGTCTGAATCTGGAAGCTGGAGGACAACTGTGAACACGACAGACACGCACAAGTTTCCATCGGCAGATGAGTGACGGCGGGCTTGCTCTACATTGGCTGGGAAGGGAACCTGGATTTCCCTCGTGGGAAGTGTGAATTCTACCATTGAGCCATACTTCCCTCTATTAGGTAGAAACCCAAATCAAACTCACGGCTGTTCAGTCGATTCCTAACTCACAGCAATCCTATACAGTTTCCAAACTTGTAAATGTTCATGAGAGCATATAGCCCCATCTTTCTCTTGGGAAGCAGCTGGTGGGCTTGAACCCGACCTAGACGTTGGCAATCTGGTAGTTACCTGGTCAGGGCCAAAAGATTTATGCAAATACAAGGGTCAGTGGTTTTATAAGTGATGATGTTACTCCTGTGTTGGGAAGCCTCTGGATGCTCAGAGTTGTTCAGTGGATAATAAAAATAGATATTTCTCTGTTTTGATTCTCAAGGAAATCACCTTAAAAATGAGATACATGCAACATCATTAAACCATAAAAAGACTCAATGTATGTCCTCAATGATCTCTGTCATCCATTTAATCCTATTATGCGGCTTCTCCACCTACACTTGCAAGTCTCTTATAATTTTATCTTACCGCAGGATCAGGCGAAGAGTAGGTCATATGGTTTAGAATGAGAACACAGCAAGCCCAAGCAAGGGAGAGGAAAATCTAAAATAAAGGAAAAAGAACAGAGTTTAAGAGCGATCAAATGGTGACCTCCCAAATGTCTTCATGCCCTTCTTTAAAACACCATCACACGTGATGTCTAGCGTGTGCAAACCTACAGATCTCCCTTGTTGAGATGCATTTTTGTTTACGTTAAAAAGGCCTCCTCAGATGGGGGGTTGTTTTGTGAGTGGGATTATTAAAGAATTGGAGCCTAAAGGTGTATGTCTATTTTAAAAAGAAATTTTCTGATTGCAGATAACTTCTCAATTTGATTTAGTGTCGAACGATAGTGATGGGGTTGATAAGTGAGCATTCATCGGTAATTCATCTTGTGCTGGTAAAATTTACAGCAAAGCAGTGCTTTCCCAACAGTGACAAGCCCTATTAATCTTCTTCAGACACATTTCAATAGGTGTTCCCATCTGTGGCCAACATCTAAACACTCTGGCATCGCCAGCCACTCAGAGACACCTTCATTTCAAGTTACACTGGTGAAAATGTGATACTAGATTGTACTCTCTTTTTTTAACCTAATTCTCTCTCTTCATTCAATTAGCCTTTCTTGCCTGGATTTTCTGCTCATGTGTAACATCATTTCCCAGGGAGAGCTCTCAAAGATTTGGTTTCTTGGAGATGCACAATCTCACCCAAGGTTAACAACCAACAACTTTTGGACAAATTAAAATTGCATAGATTCCAGTTCTGACAGGCATTGGTGGCTGGTGGCATATATCCTTTGAAGGCAGGTCCCACTCGAATGGAGGCTGCCTGTGCCAGAAGGTTAGGGACAAGGGACGAGCTATAACACCCATTTGTGTGTTCGGATTGGAAATGCAGTTTATTACCCTGAAATACGATGTTTAATTTCAATCAGGGCCTGGGGGTAGGGTGGGGAGAGGGGCAGGGGGGGTGGAGGACAATTAGGAAAAGAAGGTGGTAAAAAAGAAGCTTAGTGCTCAAATGCTTGCATCTGCCACCTTAAGATGAAGTCCCTCTCCTGTCTCTTTGTATCTATGGGAGGAGCTCACAGTAGAGAAGGAAATAAAAGCATCCCTTTAGGAATACATTGTTTCACCTCAATTGCCTGTATCCTATGAACAGCATGCTTTCACAGTGGCAAGTTTTGTGTTAAGTGAAACACTTGGAAGGGATGTTTGATTTTGGATCAAACCAAAGTGCTTTCGCGTGCCATCTTTGACCTCATCATGAGTTTGGGCTCACAGATATATTGGATTTGAACAGCATTTTCGTGCGTGCTTTAAAAATCCCTCAAAAAGAACTCTTTAACACATCCTCATTCTGGAGAGGTTAGGTACATCTGCACAATGGACGGAATTTTCTTTAACTCCGTTGAGTTGGTCTGGTTTGGTTTTCTGTCCATACGTGATCTGGGAATGCATGTCTATGCACATACATGTGTACGATAAGAGTGTGCGTTCTCACAAGTGTCTCTCTCCTTCACTCAAACTATTTTTCACAACGATCACTTGAGTTGGCTAGAGATCTCAATACTCTTATTGTAGGTGGCAAGTTTAAATGTGCCATATTAACAACTTGTTATCCAAGACAAATTAAGTCTTTATGTGTCAGACGCACTCGGTGCTGGGTTATCTACAAGACAAGTATTTATTGAATAAATGCTCAGTCCAATTTCATGTTAACGTGACTGACTGTACGTTTCAGCCTCTTAGGCAGAAACAGGAACACTCAGACCTATAACTGGGTTGCAACAGTACACCTAACTTGTCTATTTCTATTATGGTCTGTTAAGTTGGAATATGGAAAGAAAGCTTTTTCTTTCTTTTCTTTTTTTCAGTTGTTGTTATTGTTGTGAAGAGCAAGTAGAGAGATAGAAAAACGGCTGGCATTCACCCGAAAGAGAAATCATTGAAACAAATTAATCCTATGCCGTTTAAATTGACATGGTAATCCATCATCAGAGAAGGCAAACTCTGAAAGCAATCTAGAATCTGCCCTGCTCCTTCCGTGGGCCTGGAGGCACAAAGACAGATAGTGAAGGGAGGAGGGGGGGATCATAAAAGTCAGGAATGCCTCCGAAAAGAACAAAATCAGTTCTAGTAGCTCTTACTGTTCCTGCTTCTGCAAACTGCCGATGGAAGGGAGAGGTGAACTTTAAACAGTTGCTTTTCAAAGTTTGCCTCTAAGTGGCAGGTTATCTGGGGTACAGCTGCCAAGCTCTGCTTCCTTTCCCAGGCGGCCAGGCTGCTGAGTACAGTGTAACCATTGCCTGCCGCATGGTTTTTTAAAAGGAGCCCAACTGGGAACTTTGTCAGGACCCACAGTTACAACAAAAATAACTTCTCCTACAGTAGAAGAAGGGGCTTCTTTTGTGGGGCTTCGGATTTCTGGAATTGTGTCTTTGCTGTAGGAGAGGATCATGTCATTGTTTTCATTTTCAGAATCATCTTGTTTTGCACTCAGGGAAACAAGACTCTCAGAACATCCCCAAAGCCTGGCCATCCTGCTCCGTCACTTAGGTCTGAGTCTCACTTGAGAGGTTATTTTTCAAGCCACCCTTCGCTGGAAAAAAAAGCCTGATGCTGTGAAACTTTGCTATAAATTCAAAAATCACATATAGAACTGACGTGACCCATCTTGCCAGCGAGTTAAGATGAAAAGTCCTATTCGTAACTCCATGATCACAAACTACATGCCTTTTCGTCACACTGAATTTTTAAGAATTTTTCTTGTTTGTCTCTTTAGTGATCATATGTGATGTCTGTTTATTAACTTACCTAGATACACAAAATTTGAAGAAGTGAATATTATTTATAAATTTAATAGTACATTAAGGTATAACATCAAGAGAACATGAATCTTTTTTTAATTTCAGAAATTCACTTTGTTAACAACACACAGAATATGAAAATAAAAACCCAGATACCGCAGCGCCAAAGGCAATAAGGCAGAAGGTTTGGAAGATAAACCATACCCAACTGCTAGCTGCCCTATATTAATTTATCTAGGATAGAGTTTCTTCAGGTCTACTAAGAAAAATCTCTGTTACTGAAACTTCACAATAAATATCACACCTAATTTCTATAATTAGAATTTCTTTTCACTGTTTTTTTTTTTAAGGTGGCTAATTCTCGCTTGTTGACTTTCTGTTCTTTTCTTCTATTTTTTAAAATATGTAAGCATAAAAGATGTATTAAGAAGAATACCCAGGGTAAGTAGAAAAGGGGAATTTAAGGCTCTGACAAAATATCCCTTTATAGTCATGTCAGTAGTGATTTTCAACAATGTTAGGAAATAGAATGTTTAGGAGTGGGTGCTAATAGAATTTAAATCGTATCTCCTCAGTAACTGACCATTCATTTGCATCCCTGAGAAAAAAATCTGATGCCTTTGAATATTAGGAAATTATTATTTTTTAGAAGCCATTGAATAATGCAAAATCACATGAAAGAAAATCAATGAGTTAATAAGCATAAGTATTTGCTACTCCCAAAAAACTTTTTTAAAATTCCCCCATTGCTTACATTTCACTATATGAGCTACTTTTTAATTACTTGGTAATGTGGCAACAAGTATATGTGGGATGAAAGTTACCTATATTCATTCTTCAAAGAAACCAGGTCTGGGTTTTAAAACTTAGTCCTCACATATGATATGATGTGGTTTTGTCAAGAAATAACCTATGCGGTATTTTCTATGGTAATTAATGTTGATGTCTTTTACATTTTCCTTTTTGTTCTCAACTATTTGATGTATTGTCATCTTAACTAATTTACTTCAGTCAAACAAATAGGAATCTTTTAGTAGATTAATTTCTTATAAATTATAATAAGTAATATGAAAATTACCCAGCTCGGTCCTGTTTTCAAATTTAAAAGACCAGTACAGATTTTATTTAAACAATGCACTTTGCAAATTCACTACTGCTTATGCTTAAGAAGTTGAATATTAATTAAACAGTCTCCTCTAAATACTGTACAGTTCCTTATTTATTTTGATATGTGCCTCCAACAAGTCAAGAAATCAGCCTTTGAGAGAAAAAATGTAGTTCATCATGCAATTAATTAAATATATTTTCTAAATCATGCATGTTGCCCTAATATGGTGGTGTGTCCATCTTTTTCCATCTACTTACTTCCCTAATTATATGGTTTAAGGTGTTTGGGGTTTCTGCTTCTTTTTTTCTGCCACCTTCCAAAAACCAAGAGAATAGAAATTATTCAATCAATTATTTTTCTCCATCTGAAGTCCACCTTCCCTGGGTGGCTAAGTGAAATCAGATCAGATACATTCCCTTTGTTGTTCTGTTTGTAGTTCCTTTAAATACACAGATGCAGATAATTAAAAATATTAATGTATCTACATATTTGCCTTACTAGCACCTTCACATTCAAATGACTGGCGTTGGATAGCATTTGATCAGTGCTTTTTTTTTTTTTTTCACGTACCAAAATGAACCGCCCTTTGAAAGATTTCATTACCAGGCTCTTGAGAAAAAGAAAAAAAGATATAGAATCAAGCCATCGTTCCTCATTCTGTCCACTACTAAATACAAGTAAGAACTGATGACCACATGGCTTTAGGTGTCTTTAGAGCTTTCTCAGCAGAAGCCTTGCAATTTAATACTAAAAGTATTACTGCACAGATTAGACTTGGTTAAATGGGCAATAATATCCTTACACCATCATCTCTAGCTAGCACCTATTCTACTTCAATTCTTTGATTAATTAAGTAGTAAGATAAACAAAGTAGCATGTCACTGCATGTAAAATAAATATATATTGCAAAAGATGCTCGCCTTTTGTATAAATGCCCTGACAAAGCTAATAACCTAAACATTGACATTTTTACTTTGAAGTATCTTTCTGTGATTCTGCAGCCACAATGGCTTTGCTAGTCTTAAGTTGCTTCAGCCTCTAGTCTAGCTCAACAATCGTGGTTCCAAGGAGCTCATTCAAAATTCTTTTTTTGCACTGCCTTCTGCCAGTTCCCAGAATGTACACATGAGTGACAGCCCCTAT